GGATGAAATCGGATAGGGATGAAATTGTTTAGGGATGAACGGGTTTAAGAGTTTTAAGAGTTTAAGAGTTTTTAAGAGTTTTAGCCAAATGCTTTATAATATAGTATAGATATATATAATTTTGAAATAAACTGAGTGCCTTTATCTATCAAACATATAAATGTCGTACAACTAAAAGATTTGTTCTGCTACAGTTACATAAGGGAGTACGTACACCAAAGGAATTTGGGAACACGACTAGAAATGTCGATGATAATTAGAATCCATTATCTCAGCATCTTCAACCACTTGCTCTATTATTTGATGCTCCATCTATAATAATTTTTTCACCCTTTCATTTCATACAAACTTTAATATTATATTTTTTTACTTATAATTAAATACTTAAAATACCATTTAATTATATAAAAATTTAACATAGAGATGCACAAAAAAGTCCAACCACAAACCCTAATTCAACCCAGTGAGCCCCGAGCTTGGTTCATGCTAGGCCCTAAAGCCTGATCAAGCCAAAAAATCAGTGGCAGGCACCATTGCAAAAAAGCTCGGTCTGAAAAAGTCCGATTAAGTCCAAAAAAGTTTGATCTGGCCAATTTTCAACCATACAACCTAGCCTGGCCTAGCCTGTCCAGGTCTTAAAAGGTCCAGACTTGTTTTATTAACCTGGATATCTAACCCGTTATGCGAGTCGACTAATCCTAGGCGACCTGCTTTGCAGATAGTCCAGAGTCACGGCATTTGAACTTCCGTGGTAAAAGGGGATTTTTATTCCTCCTCGGATTTAAACTTGGGATCTCCTGGTACTTTTGACCTTTTAAGCCAAACTTAAACCAATCAGGCAGTGGTCAATGAAACGGGTTTGGAAGACCCATGTGTCTTTTTACTATTTTTTTAATAATAATTTTTAATAAATAAATTTGAATCAAAATCTTGCATGCAAAGAATAATTATATGACCACCAAGAAGGGTTATATATGAAAAGATGGACCAAATGTTAGCTTCTAAGGAAGAGGCAAAAAGAATAACATAGAAACTACCCATTGATGACCATGAAGAGTCATTTATATATGTAAATTGTAAATGTAACACAAGTCTCGGGTTGAATCCCGACCCTCCTTCCCCACTGGCATCAGCCGCTGAGTGAGCTAAAAAATGTCTCATCATATTGGTGTCCTTCAAAGAGGGTTACGTGTAAGTCCGGTTGAGATTACTGATAATCAACTTTTTGTGCAAATAAATGTGAATCATATACATACAAGGACCGATCTTGATATAATAATCGCTACAAGAAAATTTGTCAGATTGTCGAGCTTTGTCTAACAAATTATTGTAATGCATTTGTACAAGAGGCATATGTTTTTGTTTTATGAACTTCAAAGTTTCATTAAATATCATATTAGAACGATTATAAACAGTTTAACAAGTCAATTTTATTGTAATGCATATAAAATCTTTTATCATAATATGCAGCTCTTAAAAATGGCATGACACAGTACAAAATGATACGAGACAGTATAAAATCGTATGAGCTTAAACAATTTAGTAAAGAAACGCTAATCATTGATAGAGATGGAAGTTTTACTAATGGGAACTGGGGTTTTGTTTTGGCAGGTAATAGGACGGGGACGGGGGGGTTATATTCATACCCAAATTGGGGTCTGGGATGACACTACTTGCTCCTAACCCAACCCTGATTAAACTTCTATTTTGTTAAATATGTGTGTGTGTATATATATATATGTATATATATATATATAGAGAGAGAGAGAGAGAGAGAGAGAAAGACAAATGATTGTATCAGAAAAAGAGTTAAAGTAAGAAGAGTAAGAAATAGTTTCCACCCTTGATCATTTTTAATCTCATGTCCACCCATGAATTACGCTTCTGTCAGGAATTGATCTAGTGCATCTTATTAGTGCTGATCTTCAATTATGATTAATCCAATGATGAAGATCTCTTCTTACACTTTTTACCGTAACTTCCCTTCTCACCAGAACCCAACCCTATATATATATACACACACACACATGTGTGTGTGCACAGGCTTGAGTTCCGATGAGAATAATAGTTCTGTTGAGAAAGATAAGAAGGGATCTTCACTCTTAGATCAATCACAATTGAAGAGTTTCACTCGATCAGCAATAATAAGATGCATCAAATCAATTCTCTTCTAAAGCGTAATTCATGGGCTGAATTAAGATTAAAATTAATCAAGGGTCCAAATCTCTTCTTATACTTCTCACTTTAACTTTTATTCTCACATGATCCTTCGTCTGTGTATATATCTTGATAAATATAAGTGATTTTCAATACTAATAAGTAATTTAGTGATGACTGAATGTAATTTTTATTTTGAAATACAATGTTTTTATTGTATACTAAATGGGTATCTCAATCCGTCACGGATTCCTTCCTCTGAACCTGTCGGAGATTAGTTGAGGTTGGGTTGGAGATGGAAATGCATTACGCACCCTGTTTCCATCCCCGATCATCAATTTCTCTACAAAAAATCGATAATAATGTTATATTTATGATTCAATACATTTCAATCATCTCAAGACCCTTGGAATAGTTTCCTTTATGATGTGTTTTCAGCATTATTAACAAAAAATGTCATAATTTATGATTCCAATTATTTATAATTCTTGATTAAGGTTCTAAATGAGATGAGACGTAACATGATGGCATGGTCAAGTCTCAAGTCTTACGTTTCGCGATTAGAACACAGGGTATTTTAAGGCATGATAGAAGAAGACAAATTTCTGTCATATTATATATATATATATATACACACACACACACAGAGACAATCATTTACAAACTCAATAACTTGTACAAACTTACAAAACAAATTTTCATGTGTATAAATTAATAAAACCATGAATGATTTAATTAGGTAAATTTATAAAAGCTACAGAAACATTTGTTTGTAACGAAATTTCAATCCAACTTTATCTATTTGTTATGTAAACATTAAAGGTTAATGACGTATCCCTGCCTTTTAATGATCCTATACCCATCATGGAGCAGGTAAATCACATTATTATATGGATGAGATGATCGATATCTAAAGTCGAATCCCAAATATCTCACTCATCCTACAAAAAACGTCCATCTTTTTACAGTCTTAAGCTAAAATCACCAATACTTGTAAATAACAAATTCGTATTCTTTTCGAATCCAAAAAAGACAAAATAGAAAACAAGATAAGTATCATATATAGATTACACCTCAACTTTATATTCCATATATGGAAATATAGATATGTGGATAAGGCATCTAAAGATTGTCAAAGAGAGGCTCCCCACTCAAGATCCTCCTCAAAGCTAAAGTTCTCAATAATGTAACAAAGGCCAAAATGAATTAATGCTAATGATAAGTATTTATTGATGGAAAAAATAAACCACAAGGGTGATATCTGATTGGTTTGAGCTTGGCTTTAAAGCTCAAAAGTATGAGGAGGTCTCAGGTTCAAATCAAAGGAGGAATACAAATCCCCTTGCAGCCATGGAGGTTCAAATGTTGTGACTCCGGGTTATCTGCAAAGCAGGTGGTCGCCCTGGGATTAGTCGGCTTGCATAGCGGGTTGAATATCCAGGTTAATAAAAAAAATATCAAGTTATGTTATATTATTTTTCTTGACTACTTGGATCCAAATTATTAGATATCATATAGGTTAAAAACTCGTTTATCATATGAAATTGTTACAGAATAGAATGAATTGAAAGTTTGTTACATTAAATGCACACAAAAATTCTATCATTATACTGAGTAGGCAGTAGGAACTAACATAACTTTGTTACTTTTGACGCATTTTACCCGGTAATAAACAAAAGAATGCATAATGTGTGTCAGGATCACGACCATTTTGGTTGTGGCATACATTCGAAAGCATCTTAGGTCCACCAACCATACTTTTCCCATAATGTAAACCAAATGAGCCTGATATATCCCACCTGGATGTGAGATCTTGGGATAAGATGCACGCAGACGGCTTACTTGAGCTCTATCGTAAAGAGTAGAGAGACTATTTCCCTGAATACCTCAACTAATGCAAAGTGTGTGAAAGGTAGAAATACAAAATGCTAAAACAATTTCCAGACTATTTCATAATGTGTAGAAGTAGAACCTAATTGATCAAGTGATTGTCCTAATTAATTACACCATATTTTGCAGATAAAAACGCCCCGAATTCAAAGCCAGACTAGCTCAATAACTTCATATTCAACTTAAAACCATGGTGAAAGTTGTTGGTAGCCCATAACTTTGAGCTTATAAGGAGCTCACAAATCTACTTTTCTGTCGATATGAGATGGGTTGTTACAAAAACGCTCATAAACAACAAAGCACACGTAAAAATGAATGAAATCATCAGGTAGTAACAAGAACTAACAGCATCTAAAACACACCAGAAAGCAAGATAAAAGCATATTCACATTGTGTACATCAACACTATTCAAATATTCAGATTTGTAAAGTGATGTTGGATGAGAAAAAAGTTATGATCAAAAGTAATCCATTCCCATTTCATTGATATCCTAAAGAATGAATTCCACCATCACATAAAAACTAAGTATAAATAAACCTTAAGAGGCCTCAAAATTTAAGCAACCCAACCTTCAGAACTCCTAAAACCATATCTTACATATAAAGATGACCACAGTGATGAGTCTGTTATCCGAGAATCCAGTTGTGATCTTCAGCAAAACAACGTGTTATATAAGCCACTCGATCATAGCGCTCATAAGAAAATTTGGGGCCAACCCAACTATTTATGAGCTTGACGAGCTTCCTAATGGACAAGTAATAGAGCGGGAATTAATGGGGTTCGGATGCAGCCCGAGTGTCCCAGCTGTGTTTGTAGGGAAGAAGTTCGTTGGAGGTGCTAATGAGATAATTAGTATCAATTTGGAAAGCAAGCTTAAACCACTACTCATCAAGGCCAACGCTATATGGATGTAACCTTGAGGGTCAACTCAACTGG